GGCAAGCAGATAAAAGCCATGAAGGCTGTATCTCAGGCTTTCGTTACCCCTAACGAGCCCGTTAAGTAGGCCGAGAGAGGCGACCAACCACTGGCGAAGGTCACCTTGTTCGCAACCCTGGGGTGGCTTATTCCGGGGAAAAGGAGGGATCCGTCTCCCCGGCCAGGAGGCAGCGCGCCCGCTTCGAGAAGCGCCTCAAGCCGGTGCATCATGGTTCGCACGAGCTGCTGCTCGACCATCCACGCTGCGAGGACCATAGCCGCGTAGACGAGCCGGCTACGGTACACCCTCAGTTGCGCCTAGTCCAAAGTCACGTCGGCGGCGGCGGCGGCGGCGGCGACGGCGGCCTCGGCGGCGGCCGCGCCGCGCCCCCCGCGCCCGCCGCGTTGCTTCTTGCGCGGCGGCTCCTTGGGCGGCTTGGGCGGCGTGAGCGACGGGAGGTCCGCGACGGGCGGAAGCCCCTGCGCCGCGAGGTAGGAGAGCACCTGCCGAAGGAGCTTCCGGTCCGCCTCGCCGCGGCGGCAGCACAGGTCGAGGCAGGCGACGAGGGTGTGGGCGGGGTCCCACTCGGACAAGTTGGCGGCGGCGGCGCGCGGCGCGGCGGCGGGCACCCCCCCCGCCGGCGGACGGGCGCGGGCACCCACGGGCGCCGGCGCCGGCGCGTCGATGATCGCCATCAGCACGTCGCAGCGCAGCATCGCGATGAAGACGTCGAGAGTGTTCTTGTAGACGTCGTGCGACAGCTTGAGGAGCTCCTGGTAGACGGGCGCCTAGGCGGCGGGAGGCGGCTTCGGGCGAGCGGTGGGGAGAGCGGAGGGAGGCGCGCCGTCCGCGCCGACGAGCCGACGAGGCTGAGCAGCGCGGAGAGCGGCGCGATGGCGGAGCGGCGCTCAGCCGGCAGCTGCCTGGAGAGGCCGAGCACGTCGGAGAGCACACGCGTGTGCCGCGTCGGCGCGATGTACTCCATCAAGAGCGGGAAGAGCTGGTGGATGAACCGCTCGGGCGCCGCCTCGATGATGCGCCGCTTGGCGCCGACGGGCAGCGACGCGAGGAGCACCGCGCCGCCCACCGCGGCCGCCTCTATCACCACGGCCGGCACGGAGGGCGCGCGCTCGATGAGCGCGTGCGCCGCCGGCGCGAGCGCCTCGTCGCTCAGCGCGCCGGCGCCGACCACCTCGCAGAGCAGCGCCTCGGCCGCACCGGGCGCCATCTGCGGCACACGCGCGACGAGGCGGGCGCACGCGCCCGAGACGAGCGCCTCGACAGCCACCGGCCGCGCAACGCCCGCCACCGCCTCGACGCACTGCAGGGCGGATCGCATGTGCGTTGAGTCTGCCTGCATCGTGTGGAAATGCGAAAGCGGGAGTAATGTACGCGCGAACCGGTTTTTCTTTTGTGGCGGCAGGGACGGAACTGGGTCTCTCATCCACCTCAGTGGGCCACTCAGCGCTACGCCTACCCCCGCCCTCGCCAGAGGCAGAGCCGCGACCCGCGAGACCGGAATTTCGGCGGTACGCCCTGCCAAGGGTTACACCGAGGGACGCCGCACGGCCCTGATCCACTCCGAGTGGAACGGGCGGCGTGTCGAGACGAGCCACTGCAGTGGAACACATTTCGTTCGGCACGCCAGGGTGTGCGGAACCCGTAGGTAGAGACCAGACGTCGGTCGGCGGGCGCGCACGCAGACCACGGGGGTCTGGATGCATGCCGTCTCGCTTGAGATATGGGCCAGCCCCCGGGAGAGCCGGGCCCACAATTAGTAGGAAGTGGTTTCCTAACGTGTGGGGGAGCAGTGTGCACAATAGCATGGTCCACTCCGAGTGGACCGTGTGCGTGCCTGTCGGAGCCACTCAGAGTGGCTCGACCTGTGGGATGTGCATAAGCCCTTCGCCTCCGCGGGGTTGCAGTCGGTGCGTGACCTTGTGTTGCGTAAGTATGTACCTGGTTGACAAAAACACGCCGCAGTCTCGGAGGCGATCAAGTTCAGGGACTGGGGGGCGTACCCCGAGGGCCCCGCTCTTTCCCTCGCATAGCGGCCACTCTTCGGATCGCTGGTCGAGCGACCCGGGGGATGCCCCGCGCGCCTGACCCAGGCGCGAGAAACGAATCTGCGAGGCGTGGTCGCTTATGCGGCCCGATGGGGAGGAACGGGGCGAGCCCCCTCCAACCCACCCGCGCTAGGTCTCGGGTTTGACGCATGGGGTCACTCCCGCGAAACTCGTGAACTAGCCGGGGCAGTCGGAGAAGGGGCAACTCCGTGCACTGACGGTCGGCCGCCAGAAAACACGCCTGCGTGGATCGCGTCACACCAATCCTCGCTACCCAACGCGGCCAAAGGATATCCCACCTCGAGAACCTCGAGAGAGTTCAGGGACGCAACTCGCTTCATCTCGATCTCCCAGTTCGGCGCCGCTGGATGGCTCGACATGCGCCCTGATGGACTCCACCACACGAAGATGGTGTCGGCGATGTTCCTGACGGCGATACAGCGCAGGCACGGGCTCTACTTGTCGGTGATTGCGCCCACTCTCGTCGAGAAGGCTGCCGCGGGCGAGCACGTCACGGTGAGAGAGTACAAGGGCGACTTCCTCGCCAACTCCAACAAGGGCGACCGCACCTCCAAGCACAACGGGGTGCTAGGGCCGCCCAGAATGCCATCAGGGCGCGCTCGGTTGGCAGCATCATCCTTGGGGACAAGGAAAAGCCCGAGGTGACGCGGCACCTCAACGACACGTCCGTGACTGACATCTGCGAGATCGGCGGCGACTTCGCCACGATGCGGGACGTGCACTACGAGGTCAAGTGCTGGAACTCGCTCATCAAGTCGACGACGGTGGGGAGGGGCTCGTGGGACAATGGTGGCAATGTGGCGTCGGTGGGCCACCTCTACGGGTTTGGAAACACGCTGGACAAGGCGTTGATGGGAGTCGTGGGGTGCAAGGAGCGTGGCCGTCAGGTGGACGGACCGCTCGACCACTCGACTGGAAAGGGATGGGTCAAAGACCACGCGTATGGAAAGGGGTGGGTCAAGACGGATACGGGCTGGAAGTGGACGGGGGCGCAGTACTACGACGCGAAGTGGGTCAAGAAAGCCATAACGCGGCTGGTGCTCGTAGAAACCTTGGGAGGCATTGCGCCGCCCACCGAGCAGTTTCTCCACGTGTTCGCCAAGGATGCGGCGGGCACCAACACGGACCGGACGGTGTACGGGGCGGCGTCGGCGAGAGCGCCTCCTCCTTCGTCGTCCACCACACGCAGCAGATCTCCAAGGCGGCGGTGGCGGGCGACGCCGAAAACATCAACAAGCAGGCGCGCAAGGAGCGTACCAACTGGATCAACAAGCAAAAGAACAAGCAAGCGACAAACGGCTTCTTGTCCTCGGCCCCAGAGGCAGAGCGCCGACGGCTGGCTCCGAGTCGTAGTGAGCCGCGGTATCGATCAGCCGATAGCCCGCCTCGAGACCAGCCAGCACCAGCCCGCCCTTTGTGTCGGCGTCGTCACAGCAGGTCCCCAGGCACGTGCCGATGGGGTCGAGGCGGCAGTCGCGGGCTTCAGAGCCCAGGCAGAGTGCCGGAGGAAGCGACGAGCGGCGCCAGCAGTCCGGCCGTTTGCCGTCGGGTGAGCACCATTCACTCGCTAGTGGGGCCAGCGTTTGACTCGCCGCTAGCTGGTTTGTCGACGGCCTCGCGGCGGAGACGGTCGGCGGGGAGCGGCGATGCCGATGGGAAGGGTGGATTTCGCACTTGTTGGCGTGCGCAATCGGGCCTGTGCCTCGGCGATACGGCGATAACGTATCCACCGGCGAAGACTGGATTCG